ACCTTCCCTGGCAGCAAAGGCTTAAAAAGAGTGGAAGAGAGAAAGCCACAGGGGCAGGTAAGAACTTTTTGGCCATCCAGGAATAGGAGGAAAGAGAGGAGTGAGAGACATTCTGAGCTTTAGCATAATAACTAGACTCCTCCATATTCTAGAAGAATTAGAAGTTCCGTTGGCACAGAGCTGTATGTTTAAAAACACCCAGAAGGGTGGCGTGGCCCATCTATAGGGCATGACAAGGCACGAGCAATTGAACACTGTTTGGAGAAGTGCATTGAAGGCATGGTCGTTGCTGAAGTTGTGGTAAAATAAAATGGCACTCCCTCCAGTCCCTGCATATGGCGAGATGAGTGAGCTTGGGGGTCCGACTTGCCCTACGAGCTCTCCACGCCTTTCCATTGGATATGTGTTGTTAGGGAGTTTGCTACTTGTAAACTTCTCAGTACAGCCTGGGGCAAGAACATACCTTCAGGAGGGCTGCGTGTCTTTACAGGAGTGCTAGGAAAAGTAAATATACTGCCTAATATCTCATGACTCTGATTATCCAGGAGACTCAACAGTAGGGGCTGAAGACTTTACCAAACAAGCCTCCAGCTATGGCCTGACCCAGAGGCTGCACTTAGGGTAGGGCTGGGAGGTGAGCAAGTCGTCCGGATCAAAGCCCTTCCTTTGGCCATGAGTGTGCTGCCACAACCTGTCCTGAACTAACTTCACTCCTTTGTTTCCTTCACCCTCTGTCCTCTGGTCTGAGCAACAAAAATGGCAGATTTAGTGACTTGTCATAAAGGAAGCCCAGAGGCCAGAGAATGGAATTGTCACCAGTCTGCAGCTGAAATAGTCACTGCACCCTGGCAGTGGTCATGCTGGTCTCAGCTGAGTGGAGAAAGAGAACCACAGGAACAGGAACTCCCCCAGCACGCTCCTCTCCCAGGAAGTAAACACCTCAGGCTGAGCCACCACAGCACCCAACGCACAAGGTGATGGAGCCCCGGCCGAAGGCCTGACAGGAATGCTGAGCTCCGGCCGGGGGCTCCGAAAACACTGTGCTCTTTGCAGCTTTGGGGCCAGAATATCATCCTAAGCTAGATCACTGTAGCTTCAAGACTTTGAAGCTTTAAGACCTGGTGAGAGCAGTCTATTTCTTTATTAGCTGTAACGGTAGAATTACTAAAAAGTCCTTAAAATGAGTCCGTTGCACTGAGTATTAGAGGATGAATGAAGATGTCAGGAGCAAGCTTTGTTTTTCTCTCTCGGAGTCAAAGAACATTCTACAGAAGGGACCTTAATGACCAGCCAATCCAACCTACTCATTTCCTAGACAGGGAAAGTAAAACTCAGAGAACAGATGGGAGCTTAAAAATATATATGTTGTGGGGTTTTTTTTTTTTTCATTTTTTATTTTTATGAGCTTCGCGAAAGTGACCAGTGTCCTCTTGTTTCCCGGCTTTTCAAATCCAGGATGCAGACAGATCTAACCATCACTCATAGTTCAAACATACCTTGTACTTTCTTACCTCTTCTCATTTCCCCATCACTTAGAATGCCAAACCCCATCTCCTCAGCCCTCCAACTTGCATTTTCTAAAAATGTTTATTTATTTATTTTGAGAGACACACAGAGAGAGGAAGCATGAGCAGGGGAGGGGCAGAGAGAGGGAGAATGAGAGCATCCCAAGTAGGCTCTGTGCTGTCGGCCCAGAGCCCAACGTGGGGCTCCATCCCACACACTGTGAGATCATGACCTGAGCCGAAATCAAGAGCTGGGTGCTTAACCAACTGAGCCACCCAGGCGCCCCCAGCTTCCATTTTTTTGCGTTTTCATCCATTCGTGATTAACTCAAAAATACCACTTCCAATAAAAATTTCCCTGCCGAAACAGAATTTCTTCCGTCCGCAGCTACAACAATAGCACTTACATACCGTACCTATTATGGACGTGCAGCTTGCTTGCACGTAATACCACTCGGTCCTCACAATAACCACATGACCTTGACACTATCCTTAGTCACATTTTACAAAGGAGGAAACTGAGGCACAGAGAAGTTAAGCCACTTTTGCAGGGTCACTCAGCTAGGAAATGGCTCTGATGGTTTATTATAAATATGCTGCATACCATCACGATGCTGATAAGGAAAGGAAAATAAGTTCTCCAAAAGGGTTTTTTTTTAAAATATAAATAACTAAATCAACAAAATGATTACTATATTGGGATTGAAATCGTCTAGTGAGTGGATACAGAATTCCTGAATTCTCATACCGTCCCTAGGTCCAAATTTGGTCAAAAGGATAAGGCACGGCTACTTGAGCTTTCATTTCAGGAAGTGAGCACGGCTGAAGTGTGGTGGAGACTGTTCTTTCAGGATGAAGCCCAGTGACTGTATCCGAGCCCTGCCTCTCTCACCTGATGTCCGTTACATTCCTTCAGGGGCAAACTGGTCGGCACTATAAAAAGTCTTTGCACATCACCCAGAAGGCAGATGTACCCCAACTACCGCAGACTGGAATACCACAGTCGGGTATGTGCACGTTTTTCTAGAGATGGGTTTCATGATGTTTGCCAGGCTCCCCAACGGGTCTATAAATAACAAATATTAAGAACGGTTGGCACTGTTACAGAGGCACTGTAGAGGCCGAAGAGTTCCACGGCTATGAAGGCAGAAGGAGAATTTCTGCAAAGATGAGAATTTGTGGTAGGATAGACAAATAAAATGATTTCTCTTAGCGGGCACGATGAGAGGGCGTGCCTATACGTCGATAGCACAGGGTCCTCCCAGGGTTAAAGGAGTCAGGAACCTGAGACACTTACCCATCCCCCCTGCCACCCCCAGCCCTTGACAGCTGAGGAATCTGAGACTTAGACAAATAGAATGACTCAGCCAAAGCCACAAAGTTCAGGACTGGGATAAACTAGAATCCAGCACTCATTCTGTTTCATGGTCCCTCCACCTTAGCTGGTGGTCCCTTCTTAGTTTCATGGTCCCTCCACAGAGCATCCTATTAAAATGCTGACTAACAAGGAGGGGCCACACAAACCCCTGTACCTACACATGACCTGTGGAAGCAATGCTCTGTCATCTGGCTCCAGTGAACTTTATACAAGAAATAATCCTCTCCTAACTCTTTCTCTACTCCCCAGTGTTAAAACACTTTATAAGAATAGGACTGAACTGTGTACTTCTCCCCTGAAAGATGGCGAGTGGAAAGGGGACGTGACCCACAGTCAGTGTTTTATTTTTATTTTTTGTTGCCATTAGATATCTTTCATGCTTCAATTTCTGTCTCCTTTCTATAGCAAATACCTCCGACTGCCACCCTTAGAACACCAGGAGGTAGAAGATGGTGTCAGCGTGAGAATTTATGCACTGTAATATCTTAAACCTCAAAACATCGGTACAAAAGCAAAAAACGATAATCCTCATTATCCTCACATCAAGGCCTTAATTTTAAGACGGCAAATATGGGGAGGTCTTTGGGACATCCGAAATGCAGGAAACATCCCCTTCCATTAAGTGGCCAGATGTATTTATGGTATATTCTGCAGAGCGATTATAGAAACAGATGCATATATTTCTATAACCATCTTTTCTGCCCAGGAGATCTGCAAGCATGTGGAAGGTTTGCCTTAGACCCAAAGAAAACTGAGGTGCAGAGACCAGGTGATTTGTCCTTGCTCACATAAAAAGTAGAAAGTTCTACCAAAGATAACTATCACTCTTCACTGTAAAATGAGGTGTTCATTTGAATAAAAATGTCACCATAATGAAACAGCGTATTTGATTCACAGAGGTTTTTTTTTTAAAGGAGCCTCTGTATGTGTGAAGTCATATCTGATAATATCTCAGAGAGAGTCTTCCCCCTTTTTTAAAAATAAAGAACTTTAAGAGCAAAGTGGGAGGGTTTTAATGTTTATAAATACAGACTAGGATTCCTATCATCTTTAACCAAGAATATGCCCCATTTCCTAGTTGCTTACCGGCTAAAAAAGTCCAGTTCTTAAGAAATCAAAGGTACTTTATGATCTAAAATAATGTTGAGTATCAATCGTGAGAATATACTTCCTCTTATGAGGATTCTACTCTGGTAAACATCTCTTCTTAAAGATCACTATTGTTAATTAAGCTGAACCGAGAAATTGATGGCATTTTGCCCCTGGGATTCTTCACCATTTTGAAGGGACCCCAGGGCATATCTTGTGTGAAAAGATTAGAACTGAAGGAAAATGTACAAGTAATCAGTCTAGCGTTCTACTCTGGGAAGGACTCTGACTTACAAGACACCTGAGAGGAAACCAAGCGGTATCTATTCGACTATGACCAATGTCAAGGAGCTCACAACCTCACCATGGTGTACCCCTCTGGTCAGCAATTTTAATCATTAAAAAAAATTTTTTTTAATGTTTATTTATTTTTGAGAGAGAGAGAGAGCGTGAGAGGGGGAGGGGCAGAGAGACAGGGAGATGCAGAATCCGAAGCTGGCTCCAGGCTCTGAGCTGTCAGCACAGAGCCCGACGTGGGGCTCGAACTCACAAACCGCAAGATCACGATCTGAGCCAAAGTTGGCCGCTTAAACGACTGAGCCACCCAGGCGCCCCTCTTATCATTTTATAGTTCTCTTATTTTGAATAAATATCTACTTGCTCTTAACTTTGGCCCGCATCTGACTTCTGAAGTGACACAAAGTCTCCTCCTTCATCACGTGTCAATTTTGAAGGCTTGATTCCCTGCTTCATGCTTTTGTTCCTCAGACAAAACGCTCTAGGTTTCTTTGCTTGTCTTCCTATGCCTGGGGTCCAGATCCATCAATATCATCCTTTCCTAAGAAAGTCATTCTCCTCTCAATCTATTATAATTTACTAGTCTCCCTTTTAAAATGGCCACCTCAACATTTATGCACCTTTGGTAACTTCCAGAAATTGTTGCTGCTGATAAATGCCTTTGCTTTATAACTAGCCCTTTTTGGCCACGGTGCTTTGAGTGGCCACAGCTCTACGATCTGAGGACCTACCTTTGCCAAGGTCTCGTCATCCAGGTGATTCTTCTGAATCACATGTTGAAGTGCAAAATAAATTTTTTCCTGAAGCTTCTGGACCTTCCTTGGTTCTATCAGCCAGGCTCGGTCTGACAAAGGAAAAGAATTAGGTAAGAAGGGAGGGGATGTAACCTTTTACCTACATATATAAGTGCTTAGTTTCCGTTTACACAACCGCACATATTTTATAAGAAATACCCTGATGACAGTAATGCCAGATACATTGACGCAGGAAATGAGGATGGAAGTAATTAGAACCCAATGGTTCCAATAAACACCAGTATTTTTTTTTTTTTTTATTGCCTGTGACCATTTACATCTCTCACTCTTTTTGGGGGACATATCCTTAGATTCTTTCAAAGTAGAAGTCAGTGACTTACGAAGAAAATGAATTATAGAAGTAAGAAAATCTGCACAGGACTGTTTTTTGTATTCAGGATTCCCCTTCCCTTTTTAAACTATGCTATAATTCATAGAATCTGCATGTATCAGTTTCAAAAATTTAATCCCCCAAATTTAACTAAGCTGTTTTTCTACATGGAATTTTAAAATGGTGGATAGGATAATCCCTCCTTTCCTTCCTCCCATCCTACCTTCTTTTCTTTTTTCCTTCCAACATCCCTCTCTTCATTCCCTCCCACCCCCTCCCTCCTCCCTTCCTTTCTTCCAAGAAGCTTTATATGCCATGGTGACAAAATTCAGCCCAACATCAATGCCTCAGGTTGGCGCTTCAATGAAGAGACATCTAGAGTCTCCAAATGATGAACAAATACTCATGGAAAAGAACTTGGAAATGATCCATCTGAACACAGTTCAGGTCAGGCAAGAAACTCAATTCTGTAATCCTAGACAGGGTAAGGACAAGTCTAGCCAACAGTTAAGCAAACCCTTACGTAAGTGAGCACAAAAGCCTTCAGTGACAATTGTCAATCAGAATAAATTAAGTTTCCTTCCCTCTCCCTTCCCTAAACTATCTGGAGCTGAACAGAGCGTAGCTATTAGGGTAAGAACTGGGGGAAGGGTGGGGTCTGGCATGAGATAGAGCAGGACATCTATCTGTCTTTCCTCTCTTTTTGAATGTGACACTAGGACAGGGTGGCAGACGAGGTATTTGAGAGTTTCAGAAGCCTCTGAGTGTGGGTCTGCTACAAGGACTGGAAGATTTTCCACTAGGTAGAGTAAGAAATGTCCTGTTTCCAAACCCAGCAGAATTTGATGGCTATACTATGTTCTGTTTGCAAAAAGGCTTATAATTCAACTGAGTTCTGACCTATAAACAACAGGCTTGCCTTACATCTCGGGCAATTATCTTCATGGATTATTTAGGCTTGATATACCATGTCGTAAGTATTTGCTGCTAGGAATTTACAGGCTTATTACAAACGTACCTAACAAGGACAGTGAACTTTGGCAACACGTTCTTTGAGCAAGCAGGAACCCGAATGAAGCCTCCTCCCTCATCTTAGAACCACAGGCTTAGAATGAATCTAACGCTGAATTATATTCCATAAAAACAGTCAAATGCAATAAGAAAGTGGTAGCAAGGAAAATTATTTGGCATGTGGTTGCTATCAGATATAAATCTTTCTCGTCACTTCTCCCATTTATCTTTGTGCTTCTAGGCCTGGGAAACTTGGTCAGGTTCAAAAAAAAAAAAAAAAAGAAAAAAAGTAAAACCAAAAGAGGCCTAGAGGAACAGCTTGATTGTAGACAGAGCCACAAAAGAAACTGTTAGTGATAACATGCCAAGTGATAATTTCCATTTTTGATAATGTGGTTAAATAAAAAACAGAAGCACATTAAAAAAAAAAAACCTTCAAGACTTAAAAATAAATAGATAAAGTCTCACTGATAGGAAGGGTAGAGGCTGGGGTTATTGGTAGATATCACTAGAATGACACGTTAATGTACCGTCACCGGTGAGATTAATTTCTTCCAGCCCCACTGAAAACCATGTTAAGGTATCAGAAGGAATCTCGTCTCTAAGGTGGATTTTATAGAAAGAATGAGGCTCTTGGCCATAAAAATTATTAGGAATGGGTTCCAACAGAGAACTGTAAACGGCACTGCCGTCTCCTCACCGAATTCTAACCGAGCAGACAGCTGAGAGACTGAGTTCTCCTTCTGGCTGAAGGAGCCACGTATTCATTAGCAATCTATACATTTTCGAGCTGCCATATACTTTTAAGCAGCATTTCAATTGCTACAATTCTGTGTGGCCTATAACCGTCACCCCTTACCTTCTCTGAAAATTTTGGTATTTTATTGCATTTTAGAGCTAGGTAGAAATGATCTTCATTAAAATGAAGTCAAACCCTATTTATAGGCGAGGAAACTGCAGGTCTGGGAGGTCGAGCATTTAGGGTCTCACAGATAAATGATGACAGATCCCCATTCTGGAATGTCCACTGGCACATCAGAGACTCTTCCTTTTCCAGTCTTTAGAGGGAGTCATTTTCCCCTCTGTTGTCCATACCTCCTTTTAAAGCCCCTAATATCACTAATTTAGGTGGAGAAGCCAACACAAGAGGTATTTAAAGAGGAGAAGGTGTACGTTTTATTTACTTTTGTTCTCATGCTGGATCTCTCATTTAAATACATTTCTACTAAGTCTCACTTTTCTTCCTGGGCATTTTTTTTTTTTTTTGCGATGTCTTTTATTCTCAAAATCAAAATAGGACTTAGCTGTAACTCAGGCCGCTGTGTGTCCTCATTTATCTGTTAAGAAATGCTTTCGCTTGTCTGAATCTGGAGTGACCCTTAGCACACATCCTACTCTTGCTTGTGGGGCAAAATCGGTCATTTTAATTAATTTAAGGATACTTTCCTTTGAGTGGTCCATAAATATCACAAGCTTGTCAAAGTAAACACAGTTCTTTCAAATTTCTGCTGACTACCTAGGTTTAGTGGGGATAATCCACGTTAAAGATAGGATTTTTTTTTTTTTTTTTTTAAGACAGAGCCTCAGACCTCCTTACCTGGAGATATCAGAACAGCAGATGAGAACAAAGCAATCTCCTCCTCAGTCAGCTGCAAGGAACACAAATTCTTTGCAAAGTCAAATGCTTCATTCACCAGGTCATCAGAACCTGTAAGAGAAGGCAGATTAAGTGAGAACACTTGAATGGAATGGGGCAATAGTAAGAAAGTCCCATAGTCGAAAAGTTACTCAAGGACTTGCACACGAGGCAACAATATTTCCAAGTTCCTAATAATTATAGAATGAGGAAACTGGGAAACGTCTTGATCAAGTACGGAGTGTTGACGTCACCAATGAGGGGCTGACAGAAATGGTGTATGCTGATTGCCATATTCCCCTGGGAAGATATAAACTAAATCTAATCTTGTAATGTTGAGATGAGCTCCAACTAGAAAAAATTTAATACGTTATTTCGGGATCCTTTGGTATAGAGACAGCATTCACAGAAAACCTAAAACATGATGTATGAGGGGCCAAGGGCTGTCAGTCTTAGTGGCACTTGAACCTGGCAATTTAGAACGCTGAGAGGCCTCAAACTGAGATGTTTAAAACGTCTTATAGATGGAAGATGAGGTACCTTTCAATTTGGTAACTTCCCGGGAAATCTTACGGAGGGGGCAGGCATTCATTGCTTTCTGCTTTCTGATGGATGCTTCAGGTCAGTCGCTTAGCAATTGTGAATTTTGGCATAATAATGCTTCATCCCTACACTGACCCTTGGTAAATGTTTATTTTATGAAGCTGGAAACACAGCCAAGTTGCCTGCCAAGACTTTTCCTCCTTTCTTGAAAGTCTAGCCTTGTAGATGACATGGATGTGTATCAACTGCAGAAGGGAAACGCTGCCTGTCGGATGGACTTGCTGTTAGCTACCATATCAGCTAACAGCACAAAAGGTGAAAGGGCACTGGCCTTCCGTGATGCCCGTGGGCCGGGTATGGAACAAGTGGCACCGTCATCGTGAAAACCTTTCCTGGCATCGGCCCATCTTTGCTAACGTTCTTCTTATCTGCACCGTGTACTGATGACTGGATGTGAATGGCACACAACACTCCCGAAGATTGACTCTGCCCGTGCCCACCCACAGGAAAGGTCTGGGGATCATTTGGGGCAGGTTGGCACCCACTCTATCTGTGCTTCCAGAGCTGCATGACTTAACAGGAAGAATGTCAGTGCTCTTAGCAAGAAGCCAGTGAAGAAGCTCTTCTTTTAATTAAATATCTTAACTAATGATTATCGATTTACATAAGAAACTTAAGAGATCACCCATGGACCACCAGAGGGCTACCTAATATACTCTGTGTGGCAGTAAGCTACAAGGAAAATAAAAATTGATCCTTCAAAGAATGATCTAGAACACATCCAGCTCTTCATTGATTTCTGAATGAGGTGTGGTCGATCTCAATGGGGTCTGTGGTTCTCTCCTGCCTTTCATATTAGGATGCACGATTGTGCATCTCACAGGTTGGATAAAATATTGGAGGCTCACCTGGTCCAGACCTTATCAAATGAGATACCAGTTCACATTAAAGAATCAAGGCATCTCATTTACCCACTTCGATCTGAGTGGAGAAACTGAAGGCAGCTAAGAAAATTATGTCACCACCAAAGGTAAACTTACCTAAGGCCTTGAACATCTGCATTCCTCCATATTTTCCTTCAAACAGAACAGTGTTGTTTAATGGGTTGAAGGCACGGCACATTCTCACTAAAACCACTTCCAGGCAACCTATGTATAAAAAAAAAAAAAGAAAGAAAATAGGTATATATGTGCAATAGTAAAGCAACTCTTACTGTATTTAGGTCAACAGACTTAAAAAACTTTAAAACACACCCGTGGAGATGCACAGACACACACATTCAGAAATGCATCAAGATTTCTTCCCAAGTAAAAGATAACTATATTAGAAAGAAACCTCTCGACATGCTTACGTGAGGAATTAAAGATAAAATATACCTTAAAGGTGGCTAAAATGCAGGGCAGCAACAACACGTGTTGGGGAAGCATACATAGTTTTTGTTTTTTGTTTTCTGGACTAGTATTAAAGGTATTTTCCACTCATGAATTCACAAGGAGCTTTGCAGTTTGTTAACTTTTGTAAAAGTTTTGCTGTTGGGAAAACTTGCTCTCTGTTTCAGTTTTAAACATCCTCCATGCATATTTCAGCACAGGATGACTTTATACAGGAACCCCTTGAGGGTGTTTCTTGAGGGCACCATTTACATCTGATGTCTTGGAAATGAAGTTTTCTTGGTCAAATGAGTTTTGGCAAAATACTGAATATTATCTCACTTCAGAGAGTTATAATCCACATTCACAGATCAAAGGCTTGGGAAAGTCCCAACATGAAGAAACTTGTTCAACCTCAATGGGCCCAGCATTTCTCTGAGTTCACTGTTAGCCCGGTGAGGGCGGGACCTTTGTCCGCAGCCACAGGTAGTGGTGCTTATTTTATTCACTAGCATAGCTCCAGGACCTCGAAAAGTTACTGGCACGTAAATAAATAAATATTTAGTGAGTGAATTAGTTTGCCACCTTTGTTTTTCCCTCTGAACATTTATTGATGCTCTAAGGAACCAGCGCTGTGCAGTTTCTCCACATTATGGACAAATGGGCTTTTGCCCCAAAGTGTGTTGGAAGGTGACGGCCAGACTCAGAAACCACAAATTTGCAGGAAAGCATGATACGGGTGCTTTGGTTACATCCATGGTGTTCCCAAGGGACCCGTGGTGCCTTTCTTATGCTGCCGCTTAGTATTTATGTCTCTGTCTTCTTTTTTTTGATCTGCTGATTTCTCCTTGCTTTCCCTTATATGCCACCTAGCACAGGGGCTTACACATAGAAGGGGACTTGTCAATATTAATTAAAACAGTGTTTTTCTGACAAAAACAATAATAGGTACCGTTTATTGAGTATTTATAGGGTGGAAGTCACTTTCCTTGGCCCCTTGCATTATTTTATTTGTTCCTTACAATACCATTTCAGGTGATTTTTTAAATGTTTATTTATTTGTCGAGAGAGAGAGAGAGAGGATCTGAAGCAAGCTCCACACTGACAGCAGCGAGCCTGACGTGGGGCTCGAACTCACGAACCGTGAAATCATGCTCTGAGCTGAAGTCAGATGCCTAACCGACTGAGCCACCCAGGTGCCTCCTCGGTGACTTTTATTAGCCCTTTCTTATAGGTGAGTTACAGGAGGCTTAAGGAGGTTACGTACTCTGCCTTTTATACTAGAGTCAACATTTTTACAGCAGCAGGGATGTTAAACGATTATATGGTGCAGTGGTTCTCCAATGTCAGTCTATGGACTGGTTATATCTGAGACTTGGCTGGAAAGACGGTGAAGTGGGTTCTGGGTTCTCTTCTAGGAGATTCAGACCCATGGGCCTCAGATGATGCCTCTGACTCAGAGCAGTCAATATTCTCCTCTGATGCTGCTGATGCCATTGTAAGTTTGGAATTCATTATTTCTGGTCCATCTCTTCATTTTGCAAATGAGGAAGCTGCCATCTACAGAGGTTAGCTCAAGGTCACGTATCAAATGTGGCAGATTTTTTTTTTTTCCCAAGGAGAGCTGCAAAAATATGTTCCGTCCCACATGCTTTTTAAGAGCCTTACCACTCCCCCATCAAGAAGGATCCATGTTCAGGGCGCCTGGGTGGCTCAGTCGGTTAAGCGTCCGACTCTTGGTTTATTGAGTCATGATCATCTGTAGTTTGAACCCTGCATCGGTGACAACTTGGTGCTGATGACCGGTAGAGACCTGCTTGGGATTCTCTCTCCCTCCTTCTCTCACTGCCTCTTCCCTGCTTGCTCTCTCTCTCTCTCTCTCTCAAAATAAATAAATAAACTTAAAAAAAAAAGGGGAAGATCCAGTTCATCTACCCTTGAGCCCAGGTGAGCCGTCATGGCTGCCTTGACCAGAGTGGGGTGGAAATAGCACTGCATGACTTTTAAAGGTAAGCCAGAAAAATGCGATGCACTGTGGCCTTGTTCTCTTGGCGTGCTAGCTTTTGAAACCTCACAACCATGCTATGAGAAAGTCCAAGCGGCCCATGGAGGCACTGACATGGAGAGGAACTGGGGCCTGTGGCCCAGAGCCTTGGCGAACTCGGGATCGTCAATCAGCACACAGTGCCAGCCGTGTTGGGCGAGGACAATTTATGGGATCACGGGAGCACTGGGTGGCTGATGGTAGCGTCGACTAGCCGAGTCGCGACCAGGGTCCGTGGAGTTCGACTCCCGCGTCAGGCTCTGGGCTGATGTAGGCTTGAGCCTGTTCCGATTCCAGGCTCCCCTCTCTTTGCCCTCCCTGCTCATCTCTGCTCATCTCTCTGTCCCAAAAAAAAAAAAAAAAAAAAAAAAAAAGGGGAAAAAAAAATTTAAAAAAAAAAAAAATAAAATAAAAGCGGATCCTCCTGCCTTCCTTCAAGTCCCTCAGTGAACACCACATGGAGCATTCCTCGCTGAGCCCTGCTCACATTGTAGCTTTGGGAGCAAAATAAATGATTACTGTCATCTTAACTAAGTTTTGGGGTTGTTTTTAGCCAGCAATAGATAACTGATAGGTCAAGTTCATGTTTGGGTCAAGGTCTGCATCAACTTTAATCACGTGGTGAGAAAGCAGCAGCAACTTATACCTATTCTATTTGGCCCAAGTTCAAATGCCAGCTTTGCCATACGTTGGCTTTGTGATATTGAACACAGCCCTTCACTTCTCTGAATCTCCCCCTCCTTCTATAAGATGGAAATAATACTGGTGTCACGAGACTAAATGAGCTGTCATGGGCAAACATTAACATATGCAGGTGCGTTATCACACGCACACGTATACATGTTATGCTTAGTACTCTGGCCCAGGTCCATGAGGGTTAACAAACACCATGGTGGCTCTTATTTTCTACTTTCAAAGGTGGGGGTCAGGGAAAGAAAATTTGTTTCCTGTTTGGGTAATACCATCTGCGAGGTCAGTCATGTGCGGAATTTCTTGAGCTCCTTCCTAAGTGTGCGTGTGTCACAGAGCATGTGTTGGAAGAAGGGGAGGGAAGGATTAGAGCTCAGGGAGTTTCTCCGGGTCTATACTGGCTGCAGGCTATCCTCATTAAAATGATTGGAGATGACCACAGAGGCAGAGCTCTGCTAGCCTGGATTCCCCCCCCCACCCCAACAGAAGGCAAGTAGTGCATTTTAGAGCCAGCTCAGCAATTCAGCCACCTTGACACGCTAATTACTTGCACTGCCTGTCAAGCTGGGTATCTCAACCTCCGCAATTAATAGCTCCACTTTCAATAAGCAAAATTGTGTTTGACTTCAAAGGGGAACTGAATGAGTATCAGGGCATTTTTATTACTGAGAGTTTCCTTTGGGAGTTGGCTGACAGTGTGGGTGGTAAAAATGAACTACATACTGGAAGGAAGATTTTTCTACAGCCAACATTGAGCAAAGGGTTGACCACCTCCCGGGCTAAAACAGGTGCCCCACCCATGAATCTTCTCCTCGCTTACCTGACTTCAGAAGTAGAATCTGATCATTTTGACAGAGCTCCATGAAGCCCGTTATCCGCTTTGCAAACTCTACCACATACTGGATGGCGTGAGTGATCTGGATGGCGCATTGCTGCCATAGTGCTTCCCTAGACTTCAAGAGACGAGACACACAACGTACATGGAGCAAAAGCAACGTGGAGAGTCAATGCAACATTCAGGGTTTCCCTCCTGGAGCTCACCCGTCACTTGGGGCCCAAGGTGGGACTCTACCCCATTCCTTCCAAAGAGGAAGACAGTATTTTCGAACAGACTGTTTTGCCCTGTTTGAGCCTTGCTATGGCACAAATGTCAATGTACTGAGACCGAAATAATGGAAACACTGCAATAATATGTAAAGATAGATATGTACAGTTTCTTTACTCTCTTTCTCCTCCTCCTGCTCACCTAAACAAACTCAGGCTCTTAGTCCGTTTTGTGAAAACAAACTTTTGCACTGAGGACTAGTGATTTCATTCCCAGGCTTCTGTACGGTCACTTTTACGTGTGCCCAGCAGACACTAAATCTGTAAGATTTTTACGTTGTGTTCTTTTCCCGGAACTTATGGAGGTTGCTTTTTTGGTATAAAAAGAATTTCACGGGAAAAGACCTCAAATCAAATCACTCTCTTAAGTAATATAGAATCTCAGAAATGTATTTTGATCCTGGGGTTATTTTCTTTGGAAACATAAATCCAAGTGTATTGATTCTGCTTTTTATTGACCATAACAGTACCTATGCTTTTGTTTCCTTATTTACATAAAAGGGGTAAGATATGATTGTTCCCATGGAGAAAAATCAGTATTTTGTAATCATATGTTCAGGTGTAGACACATTTATATATTTTATTTAAAATAAAATGATAATACCAGTCATTTACTAGTAGATCTTGTAATTGTGGCTATCAACCCCACAGGAAAGTAACGTGAATATATAACAGCAGCAAATTCCTTCTCTTAAAAACTTCTCTAATGGACAAAGTAGCAATCAAAAGAATAATGGTAATAAGAATGAGGTGAGTTGTCTTTTTTTTTCCCTTTGGCCTTTTTAAACATGTAGGGCAAGAGAAACATTAAAGGTGCTTTATTGCATACCTTTGTAGTATAGATTTACAACTATTATTACTGCTATAGTTTCTCAATCTTTTCTCTTCCTTTCTTGGCCCCAGGAAGCCACCGTGAAAAGGTTCTAAAGTCATCTGATGTGGGCACAGTCTCCTTGGTCACTTAAATAGGGCAGTGGTTTTTTTTTTTAATTGGGGCGGTTTTGGCTTCCAGGGAACATTTGGAGACACCTGCTTGTGACAACTGTGTGTGTGAGGGGGTTGCTACTGGCATCTAGTGGGTAGAGACGAGGGATGATGCTAACCATCCTACAGCGTGCAGGACAAGTCCCTACACAAAGGCTTATCCAGCCCCAAATGTCAATAACGCTGAGTGAGAAAGCCGGAAATAGAGACATCACAGGGAGAAACATTGTCATAGTTTCCCAGAGTACCTTGCTCTGATAGGCTTTAATTTCCTCGTAGGTGTGGGTCTGCCATGCCAGCTGGTGCAGCTCCTCCGTGGTGTACTGACACGTCTCCAGGTGGGACTTAATGATGTTCTGTGCAATTCGATCTGTGGGAAAGAATGTCAGTTTGAGGGCTCGTGAATACATTCTCGCTCTGCAAAGAAACAAGCGCTTCACGTTTACCACCGGAATACCTTTGGAGACCCTTCGGTTGTACTCGACTGTCTTTAACACTACTTACTCTCTATCTACCAATCTCCAAACTGTTGTCCTTTTTTTTTCTCCCAATTTTCAGTCTTTTAATCAAAATTTACTGCCTTTACTTCCCCCTTTTGGTCACAAATCTGAGGGCTCATGAGTTGTAGAGTGTTCAAATAATGGTTTTAAAAATAAATACAAACGACCATGTTTCCTACTCTGTGGCCTAAAATTCCACTAACAGTCTTGACATGTATGGTCCAAAGACTTTAAAATATCTTTAGAATCACTAGAGCTTTTCTTTAAAAAGGTTAAAAAGAGAAAATGATTACATTCACAAAAAAGCAGGAACAAACACAATCAAGTCTTTGGGGGCTGTTTACCTCAAATGAGTTGTATTCGGTATTAAACTTTCAATACTGAACATTCTGGATTTGGAGGTATGGAAATTGAGCAACAGAACCAGACACGGCAGATTTCTCAAAAATCTGCAGTGAGTTCCCTGAAGTTAGATACAGCTGTGAGGAGGTTCCCTCAAAATCCCCCCAGCTCTTTGAAGAAGGGAAACCAAAGGACACAGGGATTCTGTCTGGGGGGCCTGAGTAGAAAGGAAGCTGACCACATTGTCTGCCTGATAACTGTTCTTGGCTAATAGAGAAATAGATTTTTTTCTAGTGTTTTAGGTCATGCCATTTAAAATGCAATTTCTGTTCTTTCTAAATAGCCATATTTCATTTCTCCAGGATAACTCTCAAAGCAGTGCTTGTAAGTACCTTCCTTTTACCTTGCTAAGCTTCTGGTATATGTGGTATGAAATATATTGAGCTTTGGTGATGTAGAGAATAAAAAAATGGAAGCTTGCACCTCTAATGAACTTTCCAAAAATAAAAAATCTTGTAGAGCGCACTGCCTGGCATATTACAAACACTGAATAAATGGTACCCATAATTATCATTATTAGGACATTCTGTAGAATTTGTCATCAGGGAAGCAATGCGATGACTCCAATTGGCACAAAACAGAGGTATTTAATTTTGGAGTCAGTGCTACTGAAGGAAGCCATTTCAATGTTTACTAGAGTTTCTCAATCAGAACCATCAAGTGCTAGATGTAGAAGATGCTACAAAATGCTAACTTAGGATTATAGTCATGCTCTATTGGGTTCCTCATTTAGCATTTCTAGACTTTCATTGCTTATCATATTCTAAAATCCTTTCTTTAAAAAATCCTATATGCAAATTTTATTGAATATCCTCCTACGTTGTTAAAAAAAAGGGCAGGAATTACTTTATACATCATATTAAAATAGATGTCATGGTTCATCATTTTTCAATTTCACTTGGGCAGTCTAATTACTTAGAAGCTAAAAAAAAATATCTATTTCTCAGTCAGTATATAATGAAAACATAAGATTTCTATGGCTTTCTAGTTTTCAAACCTTTATCTTCTTGGTGTAGTCTGTTTTCATCTTCAAAGATATGCTGATTTGTCAGTAATTTACAGGCTTCAGGGTTTATAAGCAAAACTACAGCTGCCACTCAAAATTGCATTATGAAAAACTCTTTATCTGTTCCTTTATGGCATCTCCTGGGAACTACTGGCCAAGGTTTAAAAATTCTCTAGCCTTCTGCCACGAAAGCTTGGGGGTGTAGGGCATAAGGAGGAAGGAGTGGGCATAATAAATACATGGACAGGTTAAGGCAAAATTGGAAGTTAAATCCACACACAGGCTTTAGGACTCAGCTCAGATGTCCATTACTGGTGAAGGTTTCCCTCCTCCCCTGGCCCTTTGGTAGAGGGGTCGGCGGCTGTTACACTTGATTCTACCTCCAGAGCTCTTATTCCGCTCAGACTTGCACTGTGGTTATTTGTTTGGGTCTGTTTGTTTCTTACCCTTCGAGGTTGTGTGAATTCTTCAAGAGCTGGACTGTAGAGCCCAGCACAAGTGACTTCATATACTTGTTCAACAAATATTTTTTGAAAGGCTATTATGAACCAGGTTATAAAGTATAGATTTTTTTTAAAAAAGGATGTTGTCTCTTTTTTTAAAAGGATCTTACAATATCATGTATCATATCATATCATCATATCATATTGTATCATCATATCATATCATATCATGATATAATAAATGCCCTTGAGTTATTGTGGGAGCTCAAATAAGAATGTATCTAACTCAGTCTGCAGGAGGCTGGAATATAACCACAGAGAAGATGCCTGTTGATCTGGGTCTGAGGAGAGGTTTGTCACATGGAGAAGAGATAGGTATACCTCAGGTAGAGGGAGTGATATTACAAAGGTACAGATAGAAAGCTAGTTAGGAGCTAGATAATTTCTCATATTACATTTCATGTCCTTACAGTCCTTACCTTTTACAACCAATTTCCCTCTTACTGAGGGAATGAGGGAGTGACTTTAGATCCATTTTTATAGAGCTAGCAAGTGGTGTTTTGAAATCAGGTTGTCTTTCCCGGCAAGAACACTATCGTGCTTGCGGCACAGAGTGCGCGGAGAGATGGGGAGAAATGAGACCAGGCAAGGAAATTGTCACTAGAGATCCGACAGCTGAGTAAGGCACGCCGAGGAATCTGGATTTTAACTTTAGGCAACGGGGAGCTAGTAGAAGCTGTGAAGCAGGAGAACGACACGGTCAGTTTTTTGTCTTACAAAGGTGACCTTGGCCATGGCAGAAAGATGAAGTGGCATTAGGGAGTACATGAGATTAATCAGGGTTGGTGATCATTCAAGCAAGATACCAGGAGGTTCTGGATTCAAGAGAGTTCTGAAATATTATGTACAGGACCAGAAGATGTGGCTGAGAGGGGGTGGGAAGAACATTAAATACGGAAGGTGCTCAACCAATGTTGAGTTAATAAAGGTAATATTGAAAATGTCCATCTATCCATCCATCCATCCATCCACCCACCCACCCACTCTTCCATTTTCTGCTCTATTTCACAAGGATTTTAGAAAGCTTATACTGATCCTTTGTTCAAAAATCTTTTTTTATTTTTTAATTTATTTTGAGAGAGAGAGAGTGTGCGTGCAAGCAGGGGTGGGACAGAGAGAGAGAGAGAGGGAGAAAGAGAATCCCAAGCAGGCTCTGTACTGTATTACGTAACTTGCTCTGTACTGTCACCATGAGATCTTTTTTTTTTTAACGTTTATTTATTTTTGAGAGAGAGACAGAGTGTGAGTGGGGGAGGAGCAGAGAGAGAGAGGGAGACACAGAATCCGAAGCAGGCTCTAGGCTCTGAGCTGTCAGCACAGAGCCCGATGCGGGGCTTGAAATCACGAACCGTGAGATCATGACCTGAGTTGAAGTCGGACGCTTATCGACTGAGCCACCCAGGTGCCCCTTGAACCGTGACATCTTAATGCCTAAGCATGCACGATGGCTTTGAGGTCAAACATCGAACGTGCGCTATTATTTCCCATGCCCTTGTGGCGAGAAATAGAAGGCAAATCTCTGTTTGACATAAGATTTATAACTATCAGCGACAGTAAAGACACAGTAGTGGCAGCTGCAGGACAGCCCTTCCCCACTTTGTTCCATGGGTCTGCCATGCAGAGGCAAGCCACATGCAAAACCTGACGGCCCTCTCAAGGCTCAGGTCAATAAAACACAGGGTAAAGCTAGACTTGGTCCCACGGGAGCAGGGCCCGAGGGCGCGTTCTGTCGATGAGAAAGATGCATGGCCATTAGAGGAGATGGTCTGCCTGGACTGAGAGTCTGCGGCTGTGAAAAGGGGAGAAGGATTTAAGAGGAAGGGGACAAAGGGAGAGACAAAGAACACAGTATACAAAGTTCCTGCTAGGAGCCAAAGGAACTTTCAAGAGTCCTTGCCTGGAAAAACAGAAAAGGTAATAGTAAACGCAGTCCTCTCCAGGGACCGACCACATGAGAAGCCCAGACAAAGAGACTGAGGTAAAAGAGTAGAGGACAGAGAATCTTTCTGGGCAATCGCACACCCTTCATCCGTTTCCCGGACTTGGATTGCAGTTGCTTGTTAGGGCCCAGTTCTCGTCGGATTCTTTAACCAGCGTGGGCCCTGGATGGCACATGTTAAAGACAGAGCCCGCCCGCACGGTGCTGGGATGAGGGGTTCGACAGCAGTATGGCCCAGGTGACTGGCAAAGGGGAAAGTTGCCCGCCCTGAGAAGCAATGTCCATGAACTCTACCCTCTGCTCTTCCTGATATCAGGGATGAGGCTAGATATTTCGAAAGTGGATAGGAACACGCAGCTACATTTTCTCAGGAGTTAAGATTGTATATGTGTTCTGTACATGTTCAGTGAGATAGTGGTTTGTCTCGCTCACTGAGAGTACGCAAGCTGCTTTGCTAGTTTATAAAACGATGTCAAGGAATGAGAAAAAAACAATTTTATATGCTCAGTCACTTCTTTTAGATCCTGGTGAGGTGAAATGCAAACATAGATGCTGGCAAGGGAAAACTGGGTGTGTAATTACAGGTTAATATCAAGTCTATGATCTTTATTTTCTGTTTATAAATTGTATGAAAAAATGGCTTGCTCTCACTTTCTCTCTACCCCTGCCACCGTCCCCCCCCCCCATAAAATGGCTGTTTGTTTTTAGACTTTGACCCTGCTACTTTTCTTGAAGGAAGGCTTGTTGGCACACAAGACTTATAAGCAACTAATAGAGTTGGTAACTTCACATATTAAGTAATTTTCTTTATGAGATAGAAATAACAACATCTGAGTCAAGTGTAGGAGTCATCCTAGAAATCTTTAAAATAACTGTTATAGGGAAATGTTTATGGCACAGATTTTGGTACACGTATCTCCAAACTCACTGAGTTGCATATTTAATAATAGGAACAGATTTTTGTATGCCAATTGTCCCCCAATAAAGAGAAAGTAACCGATATAAAAGAATAAAATAAAA